TTTTCAACACGCACCTCTTCTCTTGCAAAATTCCGCAGTCACATCGAAGCTGGTTTGTGGATGGCCTCGAGAACACGTCACATTGGGTATGAAATGGATTTGCGGCTCAAACACTCACATTGAGTGGGCCATCCCCCATGTCTAGAGGAAACTAGTCTTGCAAGGGGCCCATTCTATTCACGAAAGCTAGCCTTAGCTAGCTGGAGTTGCTCTTGCTTTAGCAAGTTAAGTGACGGGGTGGACGCACCTCAGAAACCTCAAATAATTGATTAAATCAATCTTATGGACCCCCCCCCCCCCCGCGGTTCGACTCCCCCCTGCGCGCGGTGAGCGGGACCACCAAGCAGCTGCAGCACACCAAGCATCTGCAGCGCCCAGCGCAGCAGCGGCAGCAGCAGCAGCAGCATACCCAACGCCGCGGCAGCAGCAGCCGCAGCAGACCACCCAGCGCCAGCAGCAGCAGCAGCAGCAGCAGCAGACGACCCGGCGCCTGCAGAGCACCCAGCGCAGCAGCGCCCAGCGCAGCAGCGGCAGCAGCAGCACCAGCAGCAGCAGCACCAGCAGCAGACCACCGGAAGCCCGGCTAGCTTTCGTTCACCCCCTCTGGCCTCAAGTAGTTTTGGACACAGGTATCTGACAAACAAGGCCACCATCTCAACATGTTTACGACCGATGACAACCTCAAGTGTTTGTTGTAGCACGCCTCCAGCAGAGATTGGACAAGCTCAATGACCATTAGCACTGGTCTTCATCGGATTCTGCAGTGGAGCTGGGCCATTTCTCGAAGAGACTGGTGGGTTCATGGTTTCTCCTCTCGGCAGGAGACGGAACTAGGTGATTATGAAGAAGGCCTGGGGCCATAAAGGGTGGAAAGGACGCTGGCGTGAGTACAGTTGGGTGACTTAATAGATTGTTCATGATGTTTAGATGGTAAACTTCAATGGGATATGTGCCATTTACAACAAATTGCTCCAGGATTGTCCACTTAACTTGAAGTGCTTTTGGACTAAATGACTGGTTGCACTTCCAAGGGCGCAGCCTGCCACCCTTGGCAGGCCTTGCCATTGGAGCATGTGCCACATTGGTTGATGAAAGCACCTGAAAGCCGCATCGTCTGACGGACGTCTTTGCCCGGGCACCAGCTTGGTGGATACGATTCACCAGCTTGGGGATCAAGGTGGATTCGTGAAACGAAAGCACCAAACATCGCTGATTTCTGGCAGGTCATAGAGCTATAGGTATACCAAGACCATTCTGTTCATGCTGTATACTTCGTGATTTTGGGACACTTTCCCCAGCACATTCTGCCAAGTGCCACATGTACAGGAGGTTCTTCATCCAGAGAAGTATCCAAGGAGCGGCCTCACGCGTTGGGAATCCCCGCAACGTCAGGGAAATCTGGGAGATCAAGGAATCGAGGAACCCTGTAAACCAGACGTCATGAAGTTCAACTGGATCATCAAATCATGCTCCTAATATGAATCGATTGAAACGCCTACAATAGCAGACCATAGCTTGTGTAGACTGGACCCCATTGCTTGTGTAGAGGGGCAGCAGAGGGCTGGTATGCTGCATGCGTCATTATTACACATTGATATGTTTGAATAGATTTGACCCCGCAATAAACCCATCATAACCTATCATAACCTTGATGGATTCTCAGTGAGTCAAAACTACTGCTGTCAAGTGGGGTTGAGACAGGGAACAGGGAATGGAACACGACGGGACTGCCAAAAGACCTCTTTGAAAGACCTATGACCTATCTAAAATTAAAATTATGCTTATATCAAACGTGTTGATCGGTGGCACAAGTAGTTTTGACATGTTTTGACCACCCCTCATGTAGTAGGTAATTACTCCAAGGATTCCAAAGAGGTTCAAGAACCGCACGTTCGTGCAGTGGCAAGCCATTGCTCTAAGGGGCTGTGACCATCCATGAGTGACCAAGGGCTTAAGTGACTACGCATCAATTATACAGCATAGACTTAGACTCAGACCCGTGGAAGAACTGAAGAGAAAACTAGTATAAGATAGTCCATATATGATATATGGAACCGAGAGATGTCGGGATGGCATTGTAGTGTCAGATCAAAGGTAGCTGAGATCGGTGAGTGTCAGTGCTTTGGTAGAGGTTCTGTACCAGACATTCGCAGAGTCGCAGATGGTGTGCGTCCCGGTGAGTGACGCAAAGCCAGTTGAAGCAAGTAACTAATTCACTCCATGTATGCCATATATGCCTACATTGACCCCTCAAACCACCAAAATGTAGGCAACTATGACATACATGGAGGGTCTGGGGAGTAATTAATTGCTTTTAATACGGCTTCCCCTGGCACGCCCTGACACTTTGAAAAAGATGCAACACATCTGACTGCACTGACGGGCAAACTGCGGAACACGTAGAGCCTTCAAAGTTTGACAAGAAACTTTTCCAACGCTGAGGCGGTCAAAGAGCCATACAGAGGGTGTTTGGATGTTTTTGTGACACCGTGACACCCAGCCCGTTTTTCTTCCAAATAGGGAAGACATGCGAAGACAGTGTTCTCACCCACCTCTCTTCCAGTCTCACATCCATCAGGCCCGTGGTCTACCGATCTTCACGTCCTCTCATGCCCGATCTTCGGGTCGAGCTGTGGTCGCGCCAGGATTGTCCTTGGCGCTTTGGAGACGTGTTGACCTTCAAGCTCAGCATGCAGGACGTGGATGGAGAAGCAATGGTCGTTTTCTGATCGGTCGAGGAAGCACTGGGGTTGAGGACCGGGAGGAAGCATCATGACCATGACCATGATCTGGTGTGATCACATGACCTTTGAACTAGCGTGGAATAGTGTGAATATTATGAGTGCAGATGGAGGTCCATATTATATAAATTAAGTACCTTTTTGGGGTTGGTCGTTCTCCTGTTTTGGTCGTTCCAAACTCTGCAAGCTAGACAAAGATCCAGAGAAGAAATGCCCATGATCTCACTCAACCAATCTGACAAATGTTTCTCCGATACTCCTTTGCAGAACTTCCCCGGTAAATGCGAAGAAATGCCCAAGTAAAGAAGTTCTATGGCTATGGTCATGAGACTCGGACGATACTCGGCAGATACTCCAAGTATGTCTATTTCCCGGAAAGGAGCGGACTACCAGATGTGAGATACTCCGCAGATGGGAGGCTCTATGACATGACCAGAGAATTGGTCTCTAGCCCCCTCATGTTCTAGATATACACCATTTCACCGATTCCCCATGAAATCCTGGATAGACACCATTTCCGTTGAAGGATTGTTCTGAAGCTGCTTACACCAGATCATGGTGTGGTTTGGGTCATGTCCATAGGCAAGATTTGATGTTTGGAATCGACCGAAACAGACACGAAGACAGGCCACTCGAAGACCCTGGCAATTCAAGTGGGACAGCCCCTTTGCCGTTCCTTTGCCCCACTTGCTTCAAGAACAGCTGCAAGCGTCAAAAAGACTCCAAGAACAACGAAAACAGCTGCAGCAAACATGGGGCACACATTCTTGGAAGACGGATTCTCTCCTAGGGGGGGAAAGAAGAACAGAAACAACATGAAGCAATGAAGCAACAACACATGTTCAACCAACAAGACAAGAAGACCCTCCTCCCCTCCCGGCCCCCGGTGGTCCCGCAGGAGCTGCAGGGCCCAGGGCTGAAGTTAAAGCTCCGCGCCGTGAGCGACCTGATGCCTGGGAGACCTGGGAGACCGGACTCTGTTCGGACCAGGCCAGGTGCAAACAGGAAGACACAGTTTTTGATGTTATGGACGTGTTATTTTCTACGTGTTTCTCAGTTTTAGTCAGTTTTTGTTGGGTGGCCTGGTTTCTAGCTTGATCTAACTTGTAACTCCAAGTTGTTCTTGTAGATAGTTGCTTTGGTCGCTGGTTTTATCCTTCTGGTCAATGAAGGAGACCTCGATTTATCCTTCGCCATGGAGATGCTGGTTAAGTGGATTGTTTGGTCGACTCAGAGCCCTTCCCATGGTTGGACAAAATTCCATGGATGTTTGCCTAGTTCGAATGTGATCGCGCAGAATTTTCCCTCCATCCCTCTCAAGATGGTGGGCTTCCGACCTTGGTCGGGCAGTCTTTTTGAGGCAGAAACCAGAGTGGCCAGAGCCTGATGTTGTACTGTAATTTAGAAGAAGAATGTGTTTTGGACCATGTTGAATCCACCGCCTTCGACGGGATATTGTTGGAGAAACAACATTGGAACAGAAACACCTTGGTGTAGAGGGAAGCAAACCATTTGTGGTCTTGAAGCTTCTGTTCGAGCTCGCTTAGTAGGATGTTTCGAACCCCCGGCGAAATTTCAAGGAGTTCGTTGCCCGGGCGGTCGTTCACACAGCTCCTAAGAATGGCCCAGAAGTGTTCTGCAGGTTGATGTCCATGATATGTGCGTTGATGTTCAGGGCAGTTGGTTTAGTCACAGATTATTTTGGTCAGCGTGGTCAATTTCAGGGGCTTGCCTTGGCTGTCAATCCCACTCAAACAGGAGTTCAATGCAGAAGAAGCGATACACATACAGTACGATACTCGACTACTCGCAGAATTGGAAGGCCTAGACCTTCAGGCTGAGCCAGGCCCCCTACTAAACCGCCTGGCTGAGCTGCTGGTGCCCGTTGGTCCTGTGCCCGCTGGTGAAGCATTAAGATACCCAGACGCGTGTGAGCACATGCGAGACGCAGAGACGCCTCCTTACTTTTCAATCGTTTCGATCATGGATGAGCATGTTCAGGTTCCTACAATTCCATACAATTCCTATAGTTCTCCAATAGTCACAGTGCGAAAACATCGGGGAACAAACAGAAAACACATCACATTGAGGTGCACCAACCCAAAAGCTCATCCTTGGACTCCTCTCCCTTGGCTCAGAGGCCACCTGCGACCAAGACGGTCCGTGGCGTAGCACAGCAGCGAAAACGCTTCGCGCCCACACCGGGTCGTCCCCACGCGCCCGCAGCGCGGTGCTCGCCGATTCGGAGACCATGGTGCCATGAAGACCGTGGTGCTCGCGTGGCGTGGCACTACGGACGTAGCGTCGTCGTCGTTGGAGTCCGTGAGACTAGATGTTGCAACTAGAGAATCATGTTTGGGATTCCATTTATAATTCCCCATTCTTCTTTCCCCATTCTTCCAGGTTTGTTGCTTGGTTTGGATGGTGTTGAACATGTCCTTGGCTTTTCATCCGGGAGTCGCGTGAGTGACTAAGTCATCTCTACTGGGTCTCTAAGTTGCCTCGTGGTACATGTGAATCTGGAGGACTTGCCAAACACTAGAGTTCCCTTGGTCGTACGGGTGCGTACGTGTGTGTGTGTGTGTGTGTTCTTTGCAAAGATGATGTATACTGTATACTGGTTTATTGTGTCTACCGTGTATATTTTATATTAGTGTCCATGTGTGTTCTTTTCCTTCCACAACTATGGAGAAGATGAGAGGATCATTCACCACATCCAGTCATCAGAGATGTTCAGAGAGTCTTTTTGCGTGAGTTTGTGTATCTGGACTGGACTGTTGGAGCAAGTTGAAGCTTCAATGGACGTGGAACCAGCCAACACATCGAGTCTCCATCGCTGAGGTTATGGGCTATACTACTTCTTCTGCTGGCGAGAGTCATTGACGCTTGGACGAATATTGTGATTGTTTTGGAGTACTCACATTGTTCCATCTTTGTGTGAACATGAGTGATGTACCCTAGGGACATCTTGACAAATGTTATTTCCCTGATATATTAGAGGCCCCCATAAATCTATCCAGTGACACAATCGGCTTCCACGATGTATTAAAATGTGATCGGGCATGTACATAACTCTTTGTCTCTAGATACAGCGCAAAACTCTCCATGAGGTCTGACCCCCATTCAAACACCGCTGTGACCCCCACCCACCATTCGCTCCGGCACCCCTCAGGATCGGGCACGCTGGCGGACGCTTCCCAGGTGCGTTTCCGGATGAATCGGGTCGGATGCCACGACGAGGGTCGTGAGGTCGTGCGAAGGGATGGCGGTTCTGAGTTAGTTTGGTCTTCGGTGCAGAGTAGAACTTGAAGACATCAGCATGGTTTTTGGATTTGGGCCGGGCTTGTTCATATATATATATATATATGGCTACTGTTTCTGGGTTTCTTTCAATCTCTTGGCTACCGAGACTACTTGTTTTCTCGGTCTTCTTCACTGAGAGCGCGACATGACCCGCCTCCAGGCAGAGGCTGATCAACTCCTTGCGCAGGGACACCCAGCACGGTGGTGGGCGAAGCGTTTGGGTGATCCTAGAACCGTCGGGTCGACTCAAGGTCAAGCCGGTTTCGTGCACGTTTGGTGTAGAACTACAACTAGGGTATATGAGGGGACTGGACCAAATATGTTTTGCAGGCTTTATGAAGTCATGTAGCACCTTTGGGGTACGTTTTATGAATGAGTCATAATGAGTCTGCCTTAGGTCAATGATTCCAGTCCCAAAAGAAAGGTTGCGTCTTGAAATAGGGAGTCCTCCAAGGCAGTTCGGCCCTGGAAGGCTCGAAAAACAGACCCAATTATACCCATTGGGGTGATCGGGTGTCTCCCTCTTAAAATACATACAGATATAGGACAGGAATAATTGACTTAAGGTAGACTCAATGATTCACAAACCAAACCCCATACTTGGGACTTGTTTTCAAGCTCTTCAGCAGGGTTTGACATATAGTCATCAATTTGGGTCAACTGAATCCAAGAGTTACCCATCGCCTTGGGGTCAACTTGAACCCATACCCATCGCCTTGGTGTGATGGTTGCGACCCATGACCCACATCGCAGGGTCCGCGCGTACTCGTTTCGTGGGACGAGTCACTGAGCGAAGCGTGTGGACGATCCCCCACGAAGAGACCCGGATGGGGTCCTCAAAGCCTGCGGAAGCAAGCCACTGGTGCAAACCAACCCACCTTGCAGATGCCTGCAGTTGCCCGCACGCAACTGCAGGGCTGCATGCAGTTCCGTGAGTTCATGCACCCTTTTCTCGCCCTTGAAATCACTCATCATAGCACACAGCAGTTCTGGCTATCCCTAGGGCTCCAAGTACCTGGAGCCCCAACGGGAAACCCCCAGGCCTTGCGGAGAACTCAGACCTGGTGGAGGTGGGATCTTCTCCGCCTGGGGGATTGGCCCCCATTGGAACGGTCATGGCCATTCTGGTTCTTTGAACAAGTCCTTTTAAGCATAAAGGTGCTTAACACGAAGCTTCTGGTGCTTTATGGTCCCTCAAGTCCTTTCTTTCAACAAACAAGTCCTTTGTGAGCGACACAAAGGACTTGTTTGAACAAGTCCTTTCCAGTCCTTTTAACGTTTGGTTAAGTTTTGTTGATGTCTCCACCCTGGTGACCTGGTGCTACACATCGGGTCTCTTTAAGCTTTGCCACCCAACTCGAGACTCTGTGGGAGTCCAGTGAGTCCAGTGATCCCGGAGGCCTTTAGCATCTAAGAAACACATGCCCTATGGATCGAGTCGTACCTTGTCAGAAGGTACGACTGGACCCGACGTTTTGGCACCTACAGAACGGTGTCGAACACATCACCTTCTGAGAAGGTACGACTGGATCCCTAGGGATGTGGTTTTGCTTGTGGTACAGTTAGATGCACTGGGCCAGGTTTTGCATGGGCATCCCAAAACGTGTTGCAGAGAATCAACATCCAGGAATAGGCCCATGGTTCTGCTGGTCATAGGCGTCGTTTTTCCGGGTTGAGTGTCGGAGTGATCATTGGTTGAACCAACCCGTGGTTCTTGAACCGTCGCAGCCACAATGAAGTCACAGCCACAATGGTTTGTAGAGAAATGAGCAGAAACAAAATAAACAAATGCACTTCAGTCAAGCCTGCTGTCTCTTGGGCTCTTTCTGAGAGATGCGATGGCTTTTGGAAGACCGGCCTTGGTGGTGTTTCTTCACCGTTGGTTTGTTGTCTCTTCACCGTTGGTTCTAGGTGATGGTTTCGGAGATTTTGATGTTCAACCCTTACTTGGGGATGATTGGACCCTCTGACTGATTTTTTTCAAGTGGTTTGAAAACACCAACCAGTAGTTGCTTTTGCTTGACAATTCAGTGGTGTCCTTGCTGTCTTCTCCAGGAGGAGAATCGCCGGCTGCAGTATGATGAGAACGAAAGCGACTGGAACAGTAGCTCACAGCGGTGGAGATATAGAAACACTTTTTTGTTTGTGTGTTTGCTTGCTGCTTTGGTCGATTGACTTGGGATCTAGTATGTTATGTCAAGTTTCTCGGCGTTAAAAAAGAAGTTGAACATGGTTCAGTGTCAATTGCATGTTTCAGCTGTAAGTCGGGGAGCAAGTAGAGAAACCCATTTAGTTCCGTCTTCATCACTCGCTTTCCTCAGGTAGCAATGAGACGTCGGAAGTGAACTCCACGACGTCCACCAGTTCCACTGTGACCAGCACCAGCAGCACCCAAACACTGACAACCAGTACAGACACTGTGACCTGGGCGGAACACTGTGTGCGGGTCATCAATTATGCGTGCGGATGTTGGGCGTCCGTGTGCGGGTCGGTGGTCCGTGGGCACGCACGACGCGATAGACGCGATAGACTCAGTGGTTGACGTGGTGGTTTCATCAGGATCAGTGGAGCTGAAGGGTTTCATCAGACTGATCTGCTGGGCTTTAAGGAGGTTTTGGAGCCGCACACGATGTGGGTTTACCAAATGTAAACCCCTGGGTTTGACTCGGTCATGTGGATGAATGCACTTGGACCACATAGACCAGTCATTCTTATAGGAATGCGGACCCTTCTTCCGGCACCAAAGGCATCACAGCAATTGCTGGAACTCGATCTTTCGAGGATGGGAGGGTACCACAGGATGGGACGTCCCAGCACCACATGTTTGGGAACTCTTGGACAGAACAGATCCATGTTCACTGACCCGAACGCCCCAATCCACACGGACCGGTCGGCGCCCGTGACCGGTGATTGGACTGGTCGCATCTGAGGTGACCACACGGACCCGGACCACCAGCACGCGGACGACGCGGACACGCACAAGCAGCACCAGCAGCAGCGTGACACGCACGAGCAGCACCAGTAGCAGTGTGACCAGGACCACCACCAGCAGTACCAAGACGACTGTGACGGTCACGAGCAGTACCTCTAGTGGCCTGGAAGGCATTGTAAAGGTGTTTGTTGCTTGTCATCTGGGGGAAGTAGCCTAAGCTTATCATCTGGGGGAAGTAGCCTAAGCCGGCTGTGGAAGCTATCGCAAAAGCTGCGGGACAGGGTGGCTTGATGTGTCCATGGGTCTCGCGATTGTGGATTTGTTGTGTCGTTGGGCCCCACGCAATTGAACCATATTGAACCATCCAGGTGAATGGGATTGAAAGGGGATAACTTACTCACTCAAGGTTAGAAATCATGAATCCCCTTACCATTGGACATTAATGGTGGTCCCTTTGCACGCCTTTTTGTCCGTCTTGACCATTCAAGGCACTGTGACTAGCACTAGTAGCACAGTGACCACGAGCAGTTGGACGAGCACCAGCAGCACTGCCACCTCCACGTCAACTTGGAGCACCACGAGCACCACGACTTTGTGGGGTGACTCGACCCGACTTGTAGATCCAACAGGTGGCTGGCGTCGAGCAGTGGTAGACGTGAGCACTCGTTTTTCGCGGATCCAACGGTGGATGCGGAGGAAACAGCTGGATGTGGCTCCACGATTCGCGGATCCCGCGGTGGGATTTCCGCGTTTTGGGAGACCGATGCCATCCGCCAGAAAGGTGTGGAGCTATGAGATCCGCATGGCAGACGATTGAGAGTCTGAGAGCTCCATTTCACTGAAACGCTTCCCCGATGTTTGTGGTGTTGAAGTTGGGGTGTTGAAGTTGCGGTAGTGGGACCGGAAAACATGCAAACACACCGTTGAAGTTTAAATATGCCAAATCCTTTCGAGTCTTGGATTGGGTTTGGGCTTGGGTACTTGTGGACGAATTGTTAATGAGTTGCGACGTGTCGATAAGGAAGATGGTGATAAAAGGGAGGCTACATAATATGGATCTAACATGATGAATCCTAAGTGTTGGAGGCCTTCCCTCAACAGAGAAGCCCACATTGTTTTGCTAAACAAAGGACACATATCACGTCTATAAGTCTGTATTAGGATGTTGGTTCAACCGCTTCAACAAAGGGCCCATTGCGTGTGGTCACTCAATTCTTTGACCAGTTGTTGTGTAATCCCACCAAACTCCAGAAACGGAAACCATTAGAAACAGATACAACACCCCCCCTTCACATAGAGGGGAAAAAGAAAAATAGAATAAAAACACCATGTCCACCTCCTCCTCCCCGTCCTCCTCCTCCCAACGGCCGGCTGCAAGAGACCGGGGCCCTCACCCGACCCGGTCGAGTGGATCGAAGGGACCCCCAAAAGCTATCAAACGTGTATTGGGAACTGGTTCCTCTTAACAGGAACAGGTGGAAACAGATGGTGAACCGAAAGGAGCTCTAGATCATGGCATGCTTTGCCAAGAACCCGTATACTTGGTCTTCGTCGCGTTCCCGCTCGGCGTTCCGTTCGCCCCAAAGACGGCCCTTCAGCACTCCCGCGTCCGTCGACGATGAAGACCGATGTGTCCGAGGCGATGTGCTCTTGGCCTTGGATTTCACCGTCCATCCGCCCGAGCGATGGCAGTTGCAGCACTTCGCTGCGGAGCTGGCGCTGAACGTGGCCCGCCAAAAGGAGGAAGGAAGCGGGAGACTTTGGAGCGGAGTGAAGACCCCCAAAGCCCAACGAAGCCCATTTCGCCTGTGGTGCAGTGAGCTTGTGCTTGATGTGGGTGTGTAATTAAAATAGGGAGACTCCCCAAAGAGCCCCTGGAAGAAGGAACATGCACCAGTCTACCCAGTACTTTGGGTGTCTCCCTATTGAACATGCACCACCATGTTTGTCTTGGACCTTTAGAAGTTGAAGTCCCACATTCTTCCTGTCTAGTGAGTCGAGTGAAAGTCCAGTGAGTCATTTAGCTTTTGTGACACGGGCTTCTCTGCGGCCGGTGGGAGGAGATTGGATCTACGATCCATCCCTTCAAGACCGGACCCAAATAGCCATCCTTGTTGGAACTGCCAGGAGTTGAAAGGGGTGAGCATTGGACCCTCTAAGTGGATTCTACATGACACCCCTCTCACACTCGAAGCACCTTTCGTCCGTTGGTCATATATTGGTCATCCTGTTTATTTCTTCTTTGATCCCAAGAAAGGCATGCAAATGCCACGTGAGAAACCTTTTGGTGCCCCACTCCGACGAACACATCAGATAAAAGGCATGGCCTTGGACCCTGAAGGATGACTATCATCCTTTAGGAACAGAGTAGTTTCCACTTCCATCTGTCAGTGAGTTGGAATGTATATCATTACCCGTGTGTAGCTTGTGTTTAGCTCGTGGATGGTTCGTACCCCAGACCAGTTAGCCAAACCGTCTCACGCGTGAGCTTGCCAGCATGAAAAAGAACAGGTTCAAGGCAAATCAGCTACTTCAGAAGCATGAGAAAGACCATCTTTTTGAGGTCTCTCAGAGCGTGCTCGCAGAGAGCCAGAAGCGCGTGCACTTCGGCGTGGTGCTCTTTGGGCAGGACGACCCCAGCATCGATGTTGCGAAAATCCCAGACCATCCGTGGGACTGGTACAAAATAGTTCCAGCAATAGTTCCATTTACCCTTAAAACATCTTTAAACATCTAAACAACAAGAAAACACATGTAAATAGGCAAATAGGCCGTACATGGATGGTTAAGGGAATGGGATGACAAAACTCACTGTAGCGGTTATGAGTGAGTCACCAAATTATGATGATGGATGTATTACTCGTGAGTGGACCCGTCACTGGTTTTGGAGCTGCGGGCCGGTCCTTGGCAGATCAGCTTTGAAGATTCTCAGCCAACAAAGCTTACTGTAGAACTATAATGAACTATATACTATATATCTATAATTATATACATAACTTTTTTGGGGGGGTCCATACATAGGCGACTGGCTAGACCCTTGGCTGGTGAAGTGCAAAAGCTCTGGAAATTCCATCGTCCCATCGTCCAAAAGCGCCAGGATGTGAGCTACTTTCCGCTGCCGGTGGACGAGGCGAAGTTGAACAACTTGGTCCTGGACCCTGAGCTAGGCCAGTCGTGAACTGGACGATCCCGGGCGTCCCGGACGCGGAGGCCCTGCTCCAGGTGGGTGAGTATATTCAGCATAGTGCTCCAGGGCCCTCCAAATGCAGTGGTCTTCACGGAATTAGAAGAATCAGCACTGTAGCTTGTACTGTAGTAATACTACTTTTTGTGATTTGTTGGGGTGGGATGCGAATGATGGCACAGTCTCAGGAGTCTAGAGCGCTTCAACAATATACCATGGCACAAGGGGCTGCTTCATGCGGAAATGCCTCAAGATCCTGAGGGTGTTCATGAACACCAGCCTGTAACTTGGCCTCTTCTAGCGCTAAATTCTGAATTTGCTATATCCATGAGGCTCTCTTCCAACAGTTCCAGTTAGACTCCAGTTGGCATCGGCTTCCCACTCATTCCACCTCTCCTTCTTCGTGCAGGTGCACAGGTGTCCCCTCGTCCACCGCGCTACACGCACGAAGCCTTGAGCTTGTGCGAATCGGTCTTGACCGGGAGGCAGGGAAGACGCGCGCGCGGCGACCATTTCTAAGCGGCTTGGCAGCGAAGAAAGTGGCCTGTTTCGCACAATTGGAAGGTCTGAAGAAGCAAAGAAAGACCTGCAAAAAGAGTGGGATAAAAAGGGTATATAAGGCCTAGCTGAGTTGGACCGAAAGCGACTGGAGATGGGGAAAGCGTCTTCTATAGCCAAGCTTGGCACGCGCGGAACCGATAAATCTCCTGCGATCTCAAGAGGCTATAAGAGTTGCTGGGCCCCCCCCGAAAGATGTCCAACCCCTTTTCTATACTGTATACACCGAGAGAGCGAGGGGGGGGGCGGTCAAAGGTGTTTGGCCCACCTGTTGGAGCTCTAGCTATATACTTTGACCACAAGATCTGTGGGTGGACCGCAAAAGAACCGCAACCGAACCTCCTTCCTTTCGGACACCCGACAGCCCTATCAATAGTAAACCCCCAAAAAACGGGTGGTCCTGAAGTATAGAATAGACTATAGCAGTATCGATAGAATAGAGTCGTACCCGTTTTATCTGAACCTCAAGTGATTCAGAAAGCATGGCAGGGTGTTGAACACCCTTTTTCCCAAAGAATCGCCCCCCAGGTCCTCAGGAGTGAATGAGTCGGACCGTGAAGCTGCCTCCTTCGGACCGGTTACTGTAAGCCGACAGAATGGACCGCTGCTTCGGAGTCGGGCACTCTTCGAATCGCTTCTGGCCGATCTCTCGATGTTTACACCCCTGTTTTGTCCAAAAACCATCTGTTGGAGGGTGCTGGTGCTTTGATCAACTCCGATTGATGGCTTGGAGTCGGCGCAGCACATCCTCTTTCGCCGAAGAGTTCGGCCCGTGCTGCCGCATGAAGAGTGGCAGGTATGCACAGGTCCAAGTGGTGGTCATTCTGACGAAGCTCGCCAGTTGGGTCGTCGCCCCGACTTCGGAGGGTGCCGGCGATGGGTTTCGGTGGCCCCAAAGACCGAAGGAATGACAGAGCTGGGTTCGTCCAATATAGGAAGTGAAGTAGAGGGAAATCGTTTCATCTACTGTATTATATTATACCACGAGCTGGAATCATATGAGGTGGGAGATTTCTTGCAACCGAAATGACTCCAGCCACTGGAGCGCCCAAGGGGTCTTCGGAAGTTGTGAGTCAAATAGACTGTCAGTATTCCAGTCCCATGTTAAGAGGTCCCACCATCTTTATAGGAGGTAGGATGTCCTAAGTGCCTTGCCGGATGTCTTGACCAGGGGCGTGGACAAGAAGACAGATTGTTCCGGCTGAGTGTTTGGTTGGATGCATAGAGCCCCAAAGTGCTTCAGCACCCAGAACAAACATGAACAAACTGCTGATGGACAATCATCCGGAGCCGGGCTCAGCCACGCTTCCGGTGCCTGTCTTTTACAGCATATCTGGGGGTTCGTGATGGGTCGTGTAGGGTTTCTTAAATAAGCGAAGGATCCCATCGCCTCATCAACTACGTAGGCCCAAAAAGGTGCAGAAGATGCTGAAAGACATGGGCTCGTCCTAAATTTCCACGAGTCGCGATTGGGTTGGCACAATAGCTTCCAAAGACCAAGAAGCTGTCAATTTGTTGTATCCCCCAAACGAAGTTGCTAACTGAATGGTCTATCCCCCTTCCAAAGACCAAGAAGTGGCTAATGGTCAGACAGGCTTGTTTTGCACTGAGTGCTAAATGATGTGATTGGAAGGTTATGTATGACTTTGACTTCACACCTAAACAGCCTGGGCGTAGACTTCTTCTGGAATACTTGGGTGGCACATCGAACCTGGTTGAACCTTTTACATAGTAACTCAGTGCAATCCCAGATCCTTTTGCATATATTGCATCCACTCCACACCCCGGCTCGAAATCCCATTTTGACCAGTTTTGAAAACACCCATTTGTCCCCATCACTTGGAAATAGCATACACCAAGAGTACTCATGGGTGTTCAAGGGGGATTTTGATTCTCACCATCCCTCATTTGGACTCTGAACTGAACCCTAAAAGAGGAAAGAACGAACAATATCTAGATTTCAAGAACCACAATAAATGAATAGACCATGACATCATGACCCCCCGCTCTGAATACAAAAAACACACAACACATTGATACATACTTCGAACCCCTCCTTGACCTCCTGGGACGATTCGCCCATCTGTTGGATGGGTCACCATGCTGTTATAAACAGCTATCAAGCTTGCTAAGCAAGCCGTCACCATGATGCCAGCTTCGCTCCTTCCTTCCCCGTCACCTTCCGACCCGACCCGCTTCGCTTCGTCGGAACCAGGAACGGCCTCTCGGCTGACCCGGTCCTCACCCGTCGAAGCGCGCAAGACCTGCACGCGCGGCAGGTCGGGTGGACGGCTGGGGGAGATCGGAGATCCCTTAGCTGATGTGCATAACCACGGTGATGACGATGTTAGATGCTTAGGTGTCTTTTCTTGGTTCTTCGATTTGTCCTACCGTGTGTGTGTGTTTTTTTTGTTTTACATATATATTATATATATACAGTAATTACAGTACTTAAATACCCCATGCAATTCACAAACATCTAATGGAGCGAGATTGACCTACGCTTGGAGTTCATTCCAGGTGTCATGCCGCACAACTCTCTCAGAAAACCAAGCACAAGCTTTTGAAAAGTTCTTATCTATGGTTTTTATCTACTAATGCTTCAGATGATCATGTTCATTTCGAAACCGACCAATCTCTTCCCAATTCTGCTCCTACACTGATGCCCCCCTGTCTCCTATGTCCAAGAAAAACACGCCCGCCCGGGCACAGGGCTCTTCACGCATTCAAACAGGTGAGACTCTTCTCTGTGGGCATGGACAACGTCTCGGACCGGCAGTCCGTGCGATGGATGGAGTTGGAGGACCTGACACTGAAGCAGCACCTCCAACGAACACGGGCAGACGCTACGAACGCGCGAACACGGGGAGCGCTGGAGACGGGGGAGACTATGGAGTGAAGCAGACGAGAAACGAACTGGTAGGAGCACCAGGCTCCCATTCTGCTTGCGGGGTGCGTATACGGGTGGCAGGTGGTACTAGTAGGTAATGATTGGTGTGAATAAGAAATTCATTGCAAAGAAACCCTGTAGCGACCTTTTTTTTCATTGCAATTAAGTGCCTAGATCAGTGAAGGAACCTGACCAAAACGCTGCACAGCGAGTGTCAGAGCAATTTCTCGCTGAGCAATTTCTCGCTGAGCAATTGGTGTTTCCATTGGAACGGTTACTGATACATGCACATGTTGATCCTTATTTTAGTCACTGTTCGTTCTGTTTGTTGTTTGTTCCGTAGCACGGCATGAAGGTATGATGCCTTCTACGTCAACGACTTTCTGGGCAATGACACCAATGACAGTGCTCAGAACGACACCAATGACGCGAGACGCAATCAGCATCCTCTTGGTCTCATGTTTGTCCACTGGGGCTAGCGATTGAGTTGATTTGACACATCTCTCACTCTGGGGCTTGAAGAACATGAGGGGAAAGCGCATTGGAAGATTTATTTTCAAAGATCCATGACTGGAATAGTAGACCATCCAGTGGGTTATCCAGTGCTTCCAAATGTTGGAATAGATGCACCCGTTCTTTTATGTGCAATTTATGTGTTTGTTTTACTTGGACTTTGAAGACGCAAACACTTCATGAAATGTTTGATCGTTTTTCTACCGAGCTAGACGGTCTGAGACAGTTCGACCATGTTTCCGTGCAGGAAAACAAAGGGAAGACCGGGTTCCGGTTTCGGAACGTTTCGTTCCAAAACTCTAAAACTCTAAGAGCTCACATGCGAAACAATAGATTTTTCCCAAGAGATCCCTATAGATCCAGAGCTCCAGCGATGTGAATTTGTTTCCTCTTAAGCCGGTCATCTCGCCGGGACACGAGAGGTCGACGACTGTCGCTGCGAAGAGGTCGACTGTCGACTCGAAAGGTTCCAGGTAGAAACAAAAGGTTCCAGTGTTCGAAGGAGTGGCCAGAAGTGTTTTGAAGTCAATTTGGCCCATGGCATGGTGTTGTTCCACATGTGGCCACATGTGTCCAGAAAGTTCAAGATGCTTCAGAAACATCTTGAAATGAAGAAAGGCTCACCCGCAGGTTCTGGACTGAAGGAAGAGAAAGCCTGATCACAGGGGCCCGTCCTTGGGCCTGACGGAGATGGTCACCAGTTCGGTGGGTTGTGGGTTGGCAAAACATGCGCGCTAACCCCCAGACCGTTGTGGTGTACCGTAACCACCTTCAAATTCGCATAAAGCAACTTCGGCTTCTCAGTGTTTTGACTCACCTCCACTGGCTGAATTCATCCAGCTGGGCTGCTACAACCGAAACAATTCGCCGACCGAACAACAATCAAAACCCCTTGCATCAAGCTCCCAAGCTGCTTGGGGTAGGCGAATTAGATGGAGGTGGGAGAGAATGGACGATAAGATCCTTGCTTCTGGTGGGTAACAGGTTCACTGCGCCGGTGGGTAACCTTTCCCCGCTCCTCAGGAGAGGCGTTTGATGGAGGAGCCGGTGCCTATCACCCTACTGGTGCCTGAGCACGAACAACGGACGGGAGAGTTCACGCAGTTCGAACGGGGGCGGAGGAAGGAAAAAGATCCACGCAGTTCTTGATGTGTCGTGTTACCTAAAAGAAAGGGGCGCGTTTTCACCTGGAACGGCCCAAAGAAATGTCATAGAATAGGGTGTAGGATGGTGTAGGGTATTCTTGAAGCTCTGTGTCAGCGATGGAAGATGGAAGTGCCAGCTCGAGCTGAAAGCGTTGAAAGAGTTGATCAAAACTTCATCCTACAAACCAGGCGTTCGGGACGCTGCGGATGGAAATCGTTGGATCCACCGCGCCGTCCGGCCTGCGTGTTTTTTCCGCATGTGCCCATCAGTTCTGTTGACCTCCGTCTTTAATCCCAAAGCGAACCCCACAAAAAGGAAGTGATCGACACCAGTACGGCCATGTGGTACAAGACACTGCAAGTGTGAGTCTGGATGTTCAAACTCCTAGATTGACACATGGGACATTGCCCGCCAAGCTTCGGTCACGTGGTCCTGGCAAAAGCCACAAGGTCAGGGTGGCAGTCACTTACTAGTGTCGGGATTCGTGCCCTGGCATGAATCTGGGGCTCTCTTTTTTTGTTCACCCTTGAACAATGTGTTTTTCATCCTACCTTTTTTTCCCCACCCTCGAAACCTTTTTTTCACCCTCAAGATTCCTTTTTTCCCCACCCTTTGGAACATTTTGGAAACTTTGTTTGCCACCCTTCCAAAACCTTTTATTTTCACCCTGCACCCTGTCATTTTCACCTTGTAACATGTTTCTTTCACCCTTCACCTTGTTTTTTTCACCCTCGACATTTTCTTTTCAACCCTCCACCGGTGAAGCAGGTAACCCAAGGAAGTTAGCAGCCAACAAGCCAAGCAGGCCGAACCAACCAACACACCAACCAAAGGAAGTGGGGTAAAAAAGAAAGGGTAGCAACCAAACTGTGTTTTCCCCAAATGCTGTCGATACTTGCTTTGCATTGGTAGCCCACCAAGCAACCAACAAACCAAGCAACCAAAACCACACAACCCTGTCTTTTCCCCAAAGGCTGCCGATATTTGGCTTGCATTACAACAAGCTAGCCAACCAACCAACACACCAAGCAAAGGAAGGCGGGTAAAAAAGAAAGGGTCGAGGGTCAAATAAGAAAGGGTAGAGGGTGAAAAAAGAAGGTTCGAGGGAAAGAAAGATTGAGGGTGGAAAGAAAAAGGCGGGGTGAGAGCAAAAGGGTTCAAGGGTGAAAAAAAGTTGCCCATGAATCTGCATCTATTTCAGACCTTGCAACATCTAAATTCCAGGCCCTTCAGTACGTGACCCCTTTGGAGTCTTTGTTTGTGACCTCTTGAGGGACGGACTGTGACCTCATTTCTGGATCTAGAAATTTCACTTTGAAGGTCCTGGTTGATGTACTTTGTCTTGCCCAAAACCTTCTTTGGACTTCGTTCGCCCCTTCTGACCTTCATGTCAATTGGCTTCTCACGAATCCCTCCCAACATGCCGTCCGCAAAAGGTGGCTCCCCAATAAGGGTGGCGTTGGACCCTGGGCCCCACGTACCTACAGACGTTTCTATGGCCACCTTGGCCGTCGCATCTCCCACTCCTCCAAGGCCTCCATCCTTGGGATGGACCTCATGGTTTGGATGCCCAGGGGGCCGGGGGCAGGGATTTGGCCGGCTGAGGGCAAACGATCCAACGGCAGTCTCCTATAGTAAAACCATGTAAAGCCAGATGGATTTTAGGTTGGTTGCTCTAGGTATTTATATATCTATATAATATATAGCTAGATGTGGTCCTTAGGTCCTTAATGCTTGTCAACTGCAGATCTGAAGCATTAAACATGTTGGATTGTCATGGCGGAAACAAACAACATGCTTTTGTAAATTATGTAATATTTTTATAGGTGACTCGAAACAAATGTGAAGAGATGACGCGCATCCAACTCGTTGAGGGGGTGGAAAAAACAAAACAGCGTGCGATCCGTGGAGTCGATGCTGCCGATGGAGTCGAAGAGTATACGGCGAGATCTCCGCAAAGTCGTCGTCGTGTGTGGCTGTGTATTTTGGATAAAGGGACCTCCGAAACTAATTTTTCAACCTGGCTTAAGTTGTTGATTCCTTTTGACAATCTGTTGACCTTCCCAGGAAATTTTTTTGGGGGATCTCCCTAAAAGGAAGTTGCTTGGAAAACAACACATGCCCACGACATGTCATTTGCTTCGAGACGTCCGTCTCCCCGGCCACCGTTTACTTTCTTCTAGATGAAAGGAGTGAGTTGGCCACGACGCGTCCCAACAATTGCTCAAGTTCCTAGCGGAACAGTTCCGCCTGGTTTCCGGGTCAGCGTCGAGATCTGCATGGGTCACATGATGCGCGAGGTCGCCACCCACCCCCACAACCACGAATCACAGCTCCCAAAAATAAGACAATGAAATAACATATCAAAGGAGACCGTTCCAAATCAAGAAAGGAACCGTTCAAGGTCGTTGGATTCAGCTGGGAACCAACGACCTCATTCTTCTGTCCCTCCTCTCGTCAGGAGGTGCTCCTACCTCAGCCATCACCCCCGGCGGAGCCGCCGGAGGGCATGGCTCCCGGTTTCATCGTTTTAGCATGGAAGCCTAGACGGCCGGCCCATCGGGCGACGAACGGGTGGGGATCCGAGTGTGGGTTTAGAATAGAGACACTTCCCAACCCCAAAAAGAATTTGTCCCCCTGTTTATACACTAAAATCATCTAAGATGTCAATAGGGATGGGGTCCCAGTATAGTCGCTATACAGGTACATGCCATATACTTTTGGCTCAAGTGCCCAACCAGGTAAAAAGGAGCTTTAGCGCGCGAGCTTCATGTTGACCTAAGAGCTAGAACGGGGCCAGGGCACACCTTTCCATCCGTTCGCAGGTTATCAGCCGTATCCAGACTCCTTTGAGCTGGGTACGAGCTGCGGCCTTACACAACACCATCTAAACGCACACGCATCGGATAGATCAGTTACCCTCAGTCACTGAAGATGGACCAATCCGACGCCAGCACTGCATCTTTTGGAGCAGCTGCTGCGGCCGCAGATCGGATGAGTGCATCCCACAACTCTAGTCCAGGTACGATCGAAGTGGAGACTCTGGCAGCGGTGAGAGAAGATGCGACAGGTAGAGCACGAAGTCGTTCCCCGTCAGCGCACTCGACACCACCGGGGGGGACACCGAGATCAGGCCGTAGCCCTAGGGAGACAAGGAGGAGGACTGACACCGGAGCTGTGAGAGTGTTAGCATTGCAGGATGGGTCAGCTGTACCAGTGCCGTCGGACAGCGAAGCTGGGGATGGAGCAAGGGCAAGCACTGACAACCTACAACTAGCACGGGCCGATGGAGACCTGAATGCGAAGTGTGCGCAACTACTTGCCGAAGTGCATATGTTGAACCACCAAAA